TACCAGGCTTATAAAAACGCATTTTAACTCGGCTACTTGTTCATATATCTCAACCCACCTTCTGCTCATAGACAAACATGAACAGCAGGATTATCTCCATTTTCTACGGCGCCAATCTTCAAGTTCAAAACTTGAGTGCTAATCTGCCTAAGAATCAGGCAGTGGTGAAAACATGACAAACAAAAACCCACTCAAGTTTACATTAATTTATGTTCAAAATGTATAATGGTGCACGAATATAACTATCGTTTCCTTTTCCTGTTCTGGTAATTCAAGATATAATTTAGTTGAAATGCATTAAAAATTCTAACCAAAAACATCTAGAGTATTCTCGAATTACCAGACACGCAGAAACAAAAGACCTACCATTTCTAACTCAGGATGAGGGTAACTTCAAAATAGGATGTTTAGGTCGGTGGGTTTTTTCAGCCATGTTTTGAATTTTTCAAAATTGCCTGATTCTTACAAAGACTGGCACTTGAATGTGTAAATCACAAAATCAACGGTATGCAACAATGTCAATAATCAGTGAATGCGCGGACAGTTCGAAATTCTGAAGCGTAGGACAAATCAAACACTTTTGTCTTAAATGGTTTTGTTATTTCTTTTTACTGTTGAAATTAGTTGTTATGTTATAATAAATAATTATTAACTTTGAGCGATGTATTATTGTTGACCATGCGAGATTCTTTTCGGCGTACCGGTCATTCGCTGATTGTGTGATTATTTTTTAAACATATTACTACGCGGGCCTCAAAGCATTTTATCGAAAATAATTGCAATTAATTTAAGCTTTTTCTGTCTTTCAAAGCAAGAACAATGTACAAAATTAATTGCAAGATAAAGACAATAACTGTTTAGTGTCTTTAAATATCAGATGTATCTGTACTCGGCTCGAAACAGTAGTAATAGCTCGCTAAAGCTCGCATTACACCTGTTTCTTAGCCTCGTACAGCTGTATTTAAAGACACTAAACAGTTATTGTCAATATATCAAGTGACCAGGCATCCCAAATAAGCCAATTGGTAATTGATTCTCATACAACCTTAAAGGGGCATTAGCTACGAGATATATAAAAAATATAAAATATGATTTTTTTTTGTTCACTCATTAATGAAAGTGAAATAGTGAAATGATATACCGCTTTTAGCAGCCAGTATAGTTCAATTTTGTCAAAATAAGCAAAGAAACAATGATGAAGAATTATTAACTTGCAAGTGAATAATTCGACCTCATTGAATCCGTATTCATGTGAACTTCAATTTAACCCCTTAGCTAGAGATGGATACCGCATGCATTGTGCGTGTTCAATTATTTAAAGGAAAAGAATGTCAACATTGAAAGTGAAACAAAGGTAAATCATTTGATTGACTGATTCGATCCACAAAAAATCATTCTTATACAGGTAAAAACGATGATTAACATATATTTTTAATCTATAATATGAAATTAAACAGATCTAGAAATACCCAAATACACGAGTCTGATATCTATTTTTATGTTTATATCGCTTATATGGCAATCGGATGTTTTCGGAGGTCAACTCGACAGTTAATTAGATGGCGTCTAGACTAAAATACACACGAAACGAAGCTACATATTATCGAGCCCATGCCCGGTATATTGTTTATTTTAGACTTTTTATTTGGTTAAATCTTTTACATTGTTATAAATCAAATATGAGAATTTGAGTCAAATCGGTGACCATGAATTTGACAGCTAGTGCCCCTTTAAGACATCATTAAATTTCGTAAACCATCGGTCAGGTAAATTTTCTAACCCTGAAACCTGACCGAATGTGAAATTTTTAAATTAGATTGAAACACATTTTTCATGACTAAGAAAAGAAAGGACTGTTGTCGGTATAAACAACACAGGCAATGGAAAATTAAAAAGCAAAAAGAACAACAGCTAAAACTAAAGCAAGAGCAACCCGAATTCTTTTAAAACAAAACTAGGTACTATGGAAGGGTAAGCAGACCCTGATTCACATATGGCACCCGTGTCCATGTGTTGAAATGTCTATATAAGTTTCTTGCCGCAAGTACGATAAGATATTGGATCATCTTATCTTACCAACAATCCAAGGCAAATACACAAAGCCAGTTTGACATGCTTTTTTCATGCTTCGTTGATACGTAAGAAAATGCCAAAGAGAAAAGTTAAAAAACAAACAAACCTATGTTAAAACTTTGCACGTACTTGTGTTGAGTTATGGAATCTGTAATTAATGTAATGTTCTACTTTACAAATAGTTAAGTGATTTTTCATCGCCTCTTCAAAGTGAAACTCCACTATTTCTGTGAATTATTTGATGACTAGTAAGCAGTTTGCAATCCATAACTATTTGTTAAAATCATTAAAGTTATGTAACATATCATTGATTCAATAATAAATTAATAACAAACAGTTATGTCGATGACTGACATAACTATATTGTTTTTTCTACATTCCACTATTAAATTCATGATAAAGCATGATTTACATTCGAATGCCAGTAGATTTTACTAGATTTGACATGTATGTCGAATTTTTGTTTTGTATGTGGTTGGGTTGCCGATATATTTTTATATTTCATTCTTTTTATTGAGTATATTAAATCAAAAGAAGAATTACGGATTTGCACATTTCTTAAAATTCTATCTTCAGGAACTTTTAATATCATAAGTACGAACACCAAAGATTTGGACATATACAACAACAAAACGACACAAAAAAAAAAGAATATGATAACAATTTTAGAAACATATTTGCCTGCGAGGTTAGCACATGACGAAATTGCATGTAGATAGGTATAAGAGGATTTTTTAAAACTGTTGAATCGGTAATTTCTGTTTTGACATAAATTCTATATGATTTGTCCAAAAGTACTGATTTTTGTAATAATTAAAAATTACAAAAATATATTCCACAGTTTTTAGATACAGAAATGAATTAGATGCACCATATGTACATTTCGAACATGTATTTCCCGTCATTGGTGCTCGAAATCGAATATGGAAAGTTGAAGATATCAAGAGACCAACAAAAGCAGGGGAAATGGATAATTTACCAAATTGATAATAACCTTAAAATTCTATTTCAACTCCTACACATGATCGTGTTGATGTCATAAGCCAGGAACCTTTCGTCAAGATGTTTTTCCCATTTTGGTAATTTGACACATTGTATACATATATATATACAATATATGTACATTGTCGGAAAATATAAAACTTATTTGTATGAGCTTTAGAAACAGGATAAATTATATATTTTCCGACAATGTACATATATTGTTTTTATCCTGAAATTTACACCCAACACTTGAAACTTAAGTTGTTAAAATCTAAATCATTGTCTCTAATTTTTCAAAGATATCGACATAGTTTAAACGCCGACCGTGAAGAGGACCCAAAAATGAACTGGTACGCAAAAAGAAATATCCACATTACCGCTTGCTCAACATGGAAGAGGGGTAACAGGAGACTTTATTTGTACAAGTACAAATAAAGCAAAAAATTATTTGAATGTGTACCTGTTATTTCTACAATAGTTGGCTGATTGCAGGATAAAAACACTTGTCTGTTTTTTTTAAAACCATATGTATTTATGTGTCGTTCGATTGTTCTTGTTGACGGATTTCCCACGTCGCCTTTAAAACTATGTAAAATAAACTGAATGTCACAAATTTCAATATTAAAGTAAGAGCATGCCTTTTGTTAGTTAAAGAAAAGTCTATGTTTTGCTAAGTAAATACCCCAAAAATCATTTGGATAATAAGAATGATTAAATAGGAACTATTTTGAGACATTTTCAATGAAATCAAGTCAACTGTTAAATATAGGAGTGACGGATACGAGATGTCGACCCCCTTTGTAGAAATAGCAAAGTTCGTGGTTTGTTATTCGAAACTCAATTGCATTAGAAGGGGGTCTAAACTAAAATCGATAGAAGTTTTTTTATAATTTGGCAAAATGAAGTTTATAATGCCTTTTTTCATAAATATAATAAAAATTATGGGTCACGGGGCTTTTTTTTCAAGCTACATGTTGTGGAAAATTGTGAGATTTTATATAGATTATATTTGAAAAACCCAATATTGTATGGTAGAAAGAAAAGTAAAGGATAGAATTTTAAGATAAAATATGAGAAGTTAGCTTTTATAATGTGCTTTCTGAGGGTCAAAAAAAGAAAACTTGGAGTCACGGGACTCGTTTTCTTGCTACCAGATAAAATATGTAAATTCCTAACACATTCCGTTACAAAAGTTTCATTGTCTAAGTTATCTTCCTTTATATGGCAAATTTGAAAGAAACCTAAACAATTGATATTGTGTATTTGTAAAAATAGTCATAAAATAAGATTAAACACATAATTTTCAACATTAAGACGAAAAGTCTTACAAATGAATTACATTTGTACATACGTTCCTCTCTAAAAATTTACACATTGCATTTAAGATCTAGATCGATTGTTTTCTGCTATTTTACAATCCAAGATGGCGGAAGACACCCAATCTACCTTATTTAGTTGTAAAGCTAAAGAAAATAAGAGATCATAATGCCGTAAGATACTGTAAAAAGACTTTTAATTTCAGAATTGTTATGATTACGAAGTACAGACGGACAGACGAATGAAACGTTAAGCGGAGGTATAACAGGCGGGGCCTTTTATAGCCGAATATACGCTATCGGTTTTTCTCATTGTTGAAGGTTGCCTATAATTGCTTACATCCACTTTATTTGAACTTTGGTGGATAGTTATCTCATTGGCAATCATACCTCATCTCCTTATTTTCATATTGTCACTTTGGACATTTTATATAACACAAGAGTGTGTGTGTGTGTGTGTGTGTGTGTGTGTGTGTGTGTGTGTCCGTGAATGAAAAAAAGAGACAGATAATGCAAAGTAATTTCTTTGTGTTTATATTTTAGTTTATGTTCCATCGCTTGCTACTTGATTAATGGCGACATTTATAATGTAGTTATTATAAGACACCGTTATTCTTCATAAAACGCCTCATTACTTACTGATAACAATAGTCGGGCTGTTTCAGAAAGCTGGTGTATGAAGTCAGATCATCAATTGGTTGATGCATATATAATTAACGTCTATATGCAACGAAATTAATTTGACAGGTGCGAGTTATTTCCTAAAGTATTTAACACGTAGGAATTTTAAATCTTGTTAATGCTGCCAAGTGACTTTCATGTAAAGATTTTGCCAAACATGAAGATGATGCAGGCAAAGTAACAGGTAAGATGTTAAAGATCCTTTATTGTGTCGCCTTAATTAAAATTTATTAAAAATATTGCTAACTATCTGCTGAAATCAGTTTTATTTAAATCGTATGCCATTTGGTTTTAATTGGAGCGTTTAAATAAATTTCTTGACGAAAGGTTAAAACATAAATGTAACATCAGAATAACGAGATTTTTTACATGTATATTTACAACTTTTAGATATTAAGGTACCTTGTGTGGAAAAAATCATTTACTACATGATTGTACTTAGTTTAAACATATTGTATTTGCTAAATATCAACAAAATGGATTAGACACAAGTAAATCATACTCATATTACAATATAAGTATATATATGTTCCGGACCATGAGTATTTAGACCATACGCGTATGGTCATGACCATATGCTTATACTCATATGGTCCGACCATACGCGTATGGTCGGACTATATGAGTATATACTCGTTTGGTTATTAACTGGCCGAACCATATGAGTATTTAGACCATATAGGTATTTTCCTTCGCAGGAACAAACAACTCGTTCTCCGAAACAAAATTGACATAAGTTAACAAGTGAATTACTGTTGTCTGAATATTGGTGTATCTATTATCTTGCCATCGCTAGTGTCAATTTAAGCACCTTTATCTTGCCGACTTGTTTTGTCCGCAAGTGAAACCACCGGCATTTTGGGAATGAACTTTTTTCTTCTTTCTTCCGTGTTTAGATTATTTTATTTGTTTTAATTTATTCTAATTTCTACTTACTTTTATCTAATTGATCTGTTCTTGCTCCTATTCAATCCTATTCAATCTTACAATAACAGTATCTTTATACGTGCTGCCCACATATAAACTACTGTTGGTATAAAATCGTAATGATATAGGAGCATGAACCTGAGAATAATACATTATCTATTAGTTCCAACATTAACACATTAAATAACTAAAAAATATTTGAAATATTTATGACATTTTAATATACTAAAAACAAATTAAAACACCAAAATAGAGAAAAAAAAAGAGAGGGTGTAATGAGCGTTAAACAGTTGACTTATATATTGTTTGACGGTTCAGTTAGGTATTTCTTTAAGTTATATTCCCACACCGATGTCGACATGTGGTGTTTCGTAAGGACCATATAAAAGGTTTTTACTTTAATTTAAACTTGTGAAAAAATTTCACTTTATTTAATTAATCATGTAACAATGATTACCATTTGATTTGATAATTAAATAAGTCACAATTTCATTTTTGAAACTGCTAATTTATGACAACTAATGCAGCGTCCATCGTATTAATTATCCGGACCATACGCGTATGGTCGGACCATACGAGTATATACCTATATGGTCATGACCATACGCGTATGGTCCAAATACTCATATGGTCAGGAACATATACAACAATAGCATTATGAGCATGCATGTGATCGAACAAATTCATTAGATATCAAACGAACTATAAATAAAAAGAAGAAAAGAAAAAGAAGCAAATCATATTTTTCTGTGATGATGACTAAGGTTTTGATGACAATGATCGTCCGTGCAAGTATCAATAACACATTATGAAGGTACTAGAAATCTGTTTGACCTTTTAATAAAATCTTGAACATGTTTGAAAATTAGGAGATTTTGTTCATTCGAAAGTTCAAAGTCTCCGCAAGTTAACATTTTAGTATCCAAAACAAAGTTTTCAGTAAGCCAATAAAGATTTTTAAGTAAAATTTCTCTACATGTAGTGTATTTTGGGTAAACGCAAAAAAAAAAATGATGAACATCTTCAATATGAGACCCACACTAACACGAAGGATCCAGTATAATGTTAGCTTTGAAAAGGTCAGAGTTTAGAAATGAAGCGGAACATCGCAATTAAGTTAAAATAATATTCAGGATTGAACTTCGTATGATGCGTTTATTATATATGTTTTAAGTAAAAGATATGTAACAAAACATTAAATGAAATTAGCACTTTATATAATGTCGTGCGTCCGAACGCTTTTCTGGATTTACCTTCATCAGGAACGCTCAAAACCAAAACAAAACCAAAGCTATGGATGTTGAAGACCTGAAAACATGAGAAGCTGCATGTCCCAAAGGGACCTATATGTATAATAATGAGTAGCCAAATTTTTCTAAGCTTTAAAATCACCGGTATTTTTTAGATTTAATAATAAAACTATAATTATTGCTGAATTTATGTTTATACATGATTGTTTAAAGAAATACGATGTGTATCAGGATTTTCTTTATTGTTTTGTTCAAAATACATATTTATTAATAATGTCAGTAATAAAATTAAGTAAAATAAATACAAGCATAGATAATAAGCACAGAGAATATGCTGAGTGAAACCTGTTAGTTTTCTCTTTTGAATTGTAACACATTTTCTTTCATTCCGACTCCTTTTATAACTGACCATTCGGTATGGATTTTGCTCATTGTTGAAGACCGCACGGTGAGCTTTAGTTGTTTACGTTCTTTGTCTCGTTTGGATAGTTGTTTCATTGGCACGCATATCACATCTTTTTTTTGTCCCGCCCCAATGAAGTCAAGTCAAAAAAGTAAAACTTAGGCGTCAACAATATATTAGTTTGTGATTAGGTCATTTTAAGAGGTACGACAATTGGTAGGTCATTGGTATTTGGTATGCAGTTGTATAAGCATTGGCACATCTCATTTCCATAGAAATTATTTGGACCCCCCCTCCTCAGTCATTGTCTATTGTGAATATTAATATTATTGTTTTTTTCATGTCCAGTGAGACATATTTCATGTATATTCAGGACGAAACACATTAGTCATTGAAACATCTAAGAAATGTCTTCAAAGCGAGATGGGGGAAAATGAACAGTTAGTATGATAAGAATGTGTGTGTATTAGGGGTAGAAATGTTGCCTGTAGCAAGTCAACTTTAAATTCCTTATATAGTAGTATTTGGGCTTTAAATGAAATAAGAACATGACTAACACGAGAATCTGAGGATTAAACTCCCAACTCTTTATGGGATGCATGTTTTAGAATACCACACAACCTAACGGACGCCATGGGTCTTACTGCTGAAAGGAATTAGTCCAGGTGATCACAATCTTAGACCCCAGTAGCGCTTTTTGCATTTTTCTACTGCTATCATAATTAAAAAAAAAAAAAAGAACCGTCGAGATTAACATATATATTGGCGGTGTGCAGATAAGTCCTACTTACAAATCATAAGTATCAATATTACATGGACAATACCCCTACACAACTTACGTGATTTGTAGCTTAATTGCTACACTTTGCATGGCTACAAGTATTGCCCAAGTTTAAGTTTAAAGTGTGTGAACACAGAGACAGACTGATCTGTATCTGTGGTATCCTTTGTTTCATGTTCGATGGGAAAGATGCGATCAGCATAGTCACCACTCTTTGAATTATTTAGGAAGTAGAAATCATCTTTATATCGAAACGTAAAGGGAAAGGATGCCGCTAGCTTCTTTTCGTTCTTCATGAGAATCTCCTGTATACAATCCTCATCATATGAATACAACAAGGAACAAGAAGAGAATCACTGTTGGCTCCAAAAGGAATATTGATTGTCTTTTGAAAAACACGTCATCTAAAATTCGTTCCAAATAAGTTGTCAAATATCAAGAGATGCAGTTATATTTGAGTTCATATCAGACTTTTTGTGTGGTTTATATTACACAATATTGAGTTCTTGTGAAATGTTTGTAGACTTTTTTTTCTATTTTCTTCTTTTTTAAAATTTTTGGCCATGGTCTTGTCTGTCTTTCGACTTGTACAATTATTAACCCCACTCGGGGTTATGGTTTAATGTTAACTCTTGGTACAAAAACGTAGTTTAAAATGTATATACTAATTAATTTTCATAAACGTTTGCATCAACTATGTTGTTTCTATACGCAATTAATCTATGTATGCTTGTTTGACTTGGTTTTTTTTTTTTAAAGAATTGAAAATGTTACAGAATCATTTTGCAGACAGATATATTAATGTTAGAGATTAGTCTTGTTTTTATTGAATTCGTTTATACGGTTTTCTACTGACTTTCCATGGAACCATAAATGAGCCCGTAAGTTCCATCGTGAAGTTAAGCCTCTGCTGTCATCCCTTATAGAACCAACAGTCTTGCTGACGTCATTTGGTTCCACGACAGATCCTGGAAATATTTTATAAGATCTTAGACTGGCTTAATTTAATAATACATGTAGTATTGTTATTTTCCTGTTGAACATAAGCAATATAGGTAATGTGCAATTGCGCTACAATCGTTCAGTGTAATAGTTCAATAGTAATGGTAACGTTGTAAACCGAAGTGTTCTTTCTTCGAAGTTAAAGTGAACAATAAAAGGGTTATTGCGCATATTGTTGTGAAGCAATCCCTTTGAAGAATATTGATAATTGTTATTGTAATTGCAAAGAATTGTGCAATATGACATTCCACTCATAATAATATTTATCAATTATATCTTAATAATCAACCCAATAGTATAATTAGCACAACACACATATGATAAAAACATTTAACGAAGTATGCCTGCTATGTATAATATAAGAAATAACTACTTATTTCAAATCTACACATAGCAATAATTCAATTTTCTAAAATAAATTATAATAAAGAATGGTCACAAAATGCTGGTAATTCGTTTCGTATTTTTCCCGTTGGAAGTTGGCTGTTTTTCCTTGGAATGATTAAAAAGGACATTGACATGATCTTGTAAAAAGTCATAACTCTTTGAGGTTTACTTGTACGTTATATTTGTGCGAAAAAAGATTTTATGAATATTAACGATTATCAATAAGATAAGAGAGAAAGGTAATTTAACATCTGTAAGTAAACACAATGCTCAGACGTGGTATCAATCTGCCAAGAGTTGCAAGTTACTATTTAATAAAATACAGGAAATCTTTACTCCATCTTAAACTACAATGCATTCTTACGATTAGGCACCAACCTCCTCTTCGCATCAGTCTATTGTCGAGCAGTTAGTCAGGTTAATGCATTATTGCA